ATAGATAGATAGATAGATAGATAGATAGATAGATAGATAGATAGATAGATAAATCTGTTTTATTAGGATGAGGTGAAGCACACACAGTAAATATCAGCTGAGTGATACAAAATAAGTTAAATACAAAGAACTACAACAAGTCAAAGGTCACAACACTAAACCACATGCCAAATCAGAATCAGAATGCCTTTATTGTCATTATACGCAGTACAATGAAATTAAGAGCCACTCCTTTTTCCAGTGCAAAAACACGCCTTAAGAAAACACACATTAAAAACTAAACACACAATAAAAATATAAAAAATGTAACGCAATATAGATATAATAATGAAAGTAAAAAATACAAGTATTACACAATTGTGTAATACTTTTGTTATTACACAATTATTACAAATTATACATTTGTCAACTTAGAATATTTCAACAAATTTATTTAAAAAGATGAATGAGTTAAATATTGTACAGAGCTTTGGTAACCAACATAACCACCCAATAAGCTGCTTCTATCTTTAACAGAGTGATCATTAAAGTAGTTTCCCGTTAAAAGACATAACTGCTGTAATCAGTGATTTCATCAATTTCCTATTTATAAACTCACCATGTTTACAAAAATGTCAAAAACACATCAGACACGAGCTGTAAAGCTTTTCTTATCTTACTGACTCATTGTGTGTGGGAACTCTTGGGTCAGGACGGTAATCTCCTTATTGCATGTTTCATATTGATGATCAATAAACGATCCCAGGAAACTTTATCTCAACTTACTGTAAGCATTTGACCTACTTTTTTTTTGTCAAACAGTCAATCAAATTTACTTTGATAAGGGAATGACTGCCTGGAGAAAGTGGTCTGATTGTACAGCACTGCAGACACCACTTTCTAATCCAAATACTTTGTTCCTGCAGACGTGGTAAAAACAAACTGCGTATTACCTGAAAACTAGGAACTAGAACAACTATTTTCAGATTTCAGCAGTGCAGGTTTTCTGCTTCACTATGCTTCAATCCAAAAACATGCATGTTAGGTTGCCTTCAGGCCTCCCTCGCAAAAGAGATTTGTGATCTCAGTGAGATTTGGCAGGTTAAATAAAAAGCAAGTAAATAAACAACTTATTTTGACCTGTATTTGTCTGTATTATGTAAAATGTGCAAATTAAATGGGACCCGAGTTGCAAAATGACACGGAGTGAGAACGCTGCAATGCAGAAAAACATAATGACCATCTAGCAATTCCAGTAACTAAAATAACATTTTCTAACCAAGCTAGATTTAGATCAAAGTTTTTTTATTTATTTTTTATCATGTATATCTTTAGAACTGATTCTTCTTTGTTGAAACTTTTTTTTTTAATCCGAAAGACTTCTTCAGTTTGAGAAGCTGCAACAAACTCAGTCTTATAAACAGCACCTTGGATCAGCCAGTTTGCTGGTGACAGCCAAAACCAGCTGTTCACATGGAAACGGAGGGCCACCAGCCTAATGACGGACCGTTAGTGCCCTGATGGCTGCTTGCTAACCACAGAGGACTGAGTGATAGATGCATTAACAGCATTATAGGAGGGGCTTGTCTTAGCAGCCATAATGTGGAGCCTTTTTGTGAACTTTTAACTTCCATTGGAATCACACAACATTTAACTGTGTCCATATTTGACCTCATTAGGATGAAGTCTTGCAGTGAATGCAAAGTGCAAAGGACAAAATGGATATATTTGGTCCCTTTGAAAAACCATGATAAAGTTAGTGGGCACACTAACCAAGTGTTAGTCATGTGTGAAATCATTGTAATGTGCCGTGTTCTACCAGCAGGAAACCCCAAGTTGTTTTAGTTGCTAATATTTTTTAATTCAACCTTTATTTATACAGGTAGTCTCATTTAGTCACAAGGACACATTTTCAAGAGACCTGTTTTAGACAGACATAAAGAGTACAGACAACAATGAGAAGCAATTAAATTCAAAAGTAGTACTATACAAACAATAAAATCAAGGTGCATTATTAAATATGCCATAAATTAAATATGCAATATTAAATTACATCTTGTTAACACAAAAAAACAGTTTTGCCTGCTGCTCTAGAACTGGGAAATCCCTTCATATAAAGTTTTGCCACGTTGGAAGCTTGGGGATTTCATTTTTTTAAACATAAGGGTGGATTCCCAGTGATATATTATAAAAGTTTATAAAACTGGCACTTTCATAAAATAAAATAGCTTGTTGCCAGGCCAGGTGATAAATGGCCAAATGTCGACAATTCATGCATAATTTTGAAGCTTTTAAGATGGAGAATATGAATATATCTAAATAAAAAAATATAAATAAAAAACAGACTTACCAAAAGGCACCCAGTCACACCAGGTTTCATTATTGGTTATGTTCAAGCTTGATGGTCGAATAACGGTCGAACAATTTCTGTGCAGCTCACTCTGAGTTCCAGACACAAAGAAACAAATGATACACCTTGGATAAAACAGTAATATATGATGCAAGCACGGTGGAAAGTGCAAACAGCTTTTACCAACTTTAATATGAGGCAAACATTGCTTTTACTGCATTTAACAAACTAGGTTCTGTGGACATTTTCTCTAACTTTATGGTGTGAATATAGCAATGTTTTTTAATCACAATTATAGCTGCCACTGAAGAGCATTAACAAAAAGCATGTACTGGAAACAACCTGCATGAATCAAGAGTAATAAAAACTCATTATGAATGCAACATGGAGGAAATGATTTAGCTGATGTCTCCTTTATGAAATTAAAAAAACCTTCTGACTTTTCTAAAATATGTAGACAATGGTTTGCACGAGACAAGAAACCAGACTTTCATGGTCTGCCTCAATAACACTTTATTAGAAAGAGGAAATATTTGCACCAAATGTTCTCCTAAATTTATATTTTTCTTAATGTTAGCTTTATCAAAAAGTGAAATTATTCCCTTTCAAGATTGTGATCTTTGCCTAGTTTCTTCATGAACAGAAAGAAAACGTGTTGCTCAGTCACCTTAACGATGCTGATAGGTTTCCGGGACAGATGGTAGGCTGTGTAGAAGAGGAATGTGAGGAAAAGAATGAAACCACGATACCTGCAAGAAGAAAAACTACGGTTAGTCAAATTGATGACGTATAATACTTTACACATGCAGTGTCAGGGGAATTTAGGCAAAGGCCATGGATGTTATCACTTACTAATGTTAAATTCATGTAGAATCATGTGTGTGAGTTAAGAGTTGTTTTGTCTGAACAGAGAGGAGCCTGCAAACCTGATAAACTCAAAGTCCCTAAGCTGCAAAGCAGAGGTTAAGACCTCGCCTCTGTTTGATCAACTTTATAAATAGGCGCTTCTTTGTACTGTCTGTGAGCAGACCTTACGACCGGAGCTTCGATGTAACATCTGTGTAATCCTGTGCGTTAACTCTGCCCCCACTTGCAAGGAGTAAAACTGAGTTGAAAAATCTTCTCGTATCTTAAGAGTGGCTTGTTTGAGTAATGAGTTGATGATAGGATAATTAATTTATCCAACTTGCAGTTTCTTTATATTCTACTTTGTGGGAAAATAAAAAAAAATACATCCATAAAAAAAATTGTTCTTTGTGAACAAAAACTAGAAATATTTCACAAATGTCCAATAAAGCACAAATGTGTGCTTCATTAACATGAATATTAAAAGGCAGCAACATAAACCAGTTTGTTAGGACGACCTGTTTGAACTGGAATAATCACTGATGAATGTCATAAAAACATGTACTGGTCAAAGTTTCCATCTTGAACTGCAGGATAATTTACAGTTAGCTTCCAAGTCGCCTACTGAAGAGTCAAATCCATCTCATTTTCATTTAGGTGACAAATATTCACCTCTCATACTTTGACGTGAGCTAATGAGGAGGTCACGGAGCAGTTAATTAATAATAAATTAAACATGTTTAAACTTCAATAAACAAATGGGGTCAAAAAAGTAACAAACATAAATCAAGGTAAAAGCAAAAAAAGGCCCTTTAAATAAACCGAATCCTTACAAATTCACCTAAAATCAAACAGATTCATTAAACAATTAACCGTTTAAGCAAACTATTTTGACCAGCTCTAAAACAGTAATAAGAACATTTTAATTTGTCTTCATAAATATCCCTGCAGTGACTTGGGTTCATTGACCTCAGTGTTTTTTAACCTGGCATGTACACAACAATTAGAAACTGTGGCCCTTTATAGCTTTATTTTCAGAGTCAGTCAGAGTTTCTTTATTGTCATTCGCACCTCATGTGGTACATGTGGTGGAGCGAAATTATGTACACAGGGTCCCAGTTACATCCAACAATAAAATGTAAAAGAAAAACAGTAATAACATCTAAGATATGAACTAAGAAAAACATCAACTAAATATACACTAAGCACTCATAACATAAAAACATTACGTCGAACAGCAGCACGAACATGAACATGAGTCTGTGTGAGCAGATGAGCACGCATGAACACATCAACATTGAAAGAGATCAGCAGCAACATGAAACAGATCAGCAGCAACATGATGTGATTTTTTTCAGTGATTATTCTGGTTAGAGATTCATGAGTCTAGCAACCTCAGGGTAGAAGCTGTTCCTCAGTCTAGTGGTTCTGCACTTAATGCTCCTCAACCTCCTTCTTGAGGGGAGTGGGGCAAAAAGTGTGTGTGCTGGGTGAGTGGGGTCCTTCATGATGCAGGTGGCCCTCTTCCTGCATCTGGAGGTGTAGATGTCTGTGATGGTGGGGAGACTGACTCCGACAGACTTCTGTGCAGCCTCTGCAACACTCACTCTCTCTTTCCCCATTTGTAACAAAACTTTTCTCACACATTTAATTTGTTGTACATTTATTTATACTTGTCACTGACATCTGCTCTCTAGTTTTGTTAAAACTGGATTTATTTTGCATAATAATAAGACATCCAACACCCTTCTAATCTGTGTCCTGTTTGTTAAGTTCATTTTAAAATGTCGTTTCTGTAACGTGCATTTTAATTCTGCATTTCAATCTAGTTGCCTGATATTTCTGAGTGTTTTAGTCATTTCTTTTAAATTGATGTAAGAAATGTTGCTTTAGTGGTAGTATAAAATAGAAATATTTAAACAGCAGGTGCTGGGTCAGGACCCCCACACCAGAAAGCAAATTAAACTGGACGATTGGTTATAACAAGACAAATTCTGGGTCCAAAATACATAAAAAATACTAATAAATAAGTTGTATTGTTTCTGTCACTATGACCTTGTTATTAATGCGTTTACATAACGTGTATGGGCAAAACAAACTACTTTTATGTTCTTTTTCTTAAATAATAGTATATAAAGCAGAAGTGCAGAAATGCAATGTTCTGGTACAGCCACAACATTATGACCCAACATTTAGTAGCACTTTCTACAGATATCATAAAAGCCTCCAACTGAGTCTGGAGACCCTTGAAGCCCAGTAATCAAATTGAGTTTTAATTATTTATAAGCAGTTTTTGAGGATCCAACATCAACACTGCTGTTATAAGGAAGTCCTGTTGCCACGATAGGAGTGCCACTTGTCTTCAAAAGTGTCACAAATGTAAAAAGTTATTCTGAATGAACCAAAGCTGGGAAGAAAAAACAAAAATCAATGTAACACACAGCAACTGTGTGACCAGGAGCTCAGTACTTTAGTTTGAGCAAATTCCTTAAATGCTGGACAGCAGTATTGACTGAAGGTCACATTTACACCAGGAAAAAAAAAGTACTTTAAAAAGGAAGTCGCTTTAAACAAAAAAAGTGCTAAAAAAACAAAAACAATAAAATGTAATAGGTAATATTATGTAATAAAAAGGTGGGTTTATAAAATCCATGTTTATCGACCTGGCTGAGTAAATAATCTACTAAATGGAGAAATGTTAAAACAGATACATGATCTAAGCTGCGAGTAAAAATAAAGATTAAAACTTACCAGCTGTCCCGGGAAAAGGCCGTTATCAGCCGGATACCGGGAGCCAGGGAGGACTTCATTTTGATTTAAAACCTGATTAAAACTTCTCACAGAAACTAGACCCCAGACATGTTTTCAAAGGTATCAAACAGATAAAAAGGGCACTAACAAGACAAAAATAAACCACCCTACGGTCACAGAACGCTACCCGAGCCGAGCCGACGAGGTAAAAAAAAAAAAAAAAACGGCTAACAAAAAGAAGAACGGGGGGTAACTGGAGCCGGAGGATGTAAGCAGACGTTAGCTGCTGGACATAAAAAACGGTTGAGGTCCGGTTTCTTGTTCGAAGACAGAGTCCGGTAACATCCAACAGAGCTCCATGATAATGTGCCAAGTTAAGTTTATATACACTGGTGAGATAAGCCTGCCTACCTCGGAGACGCTGGGTCAAAACGGCTTGAAAAAAAAAAGAGCCCACAACTATGAATAGTTGAGTGTTTCAGGCACGCGCCCGAAATACCCTTTTCCACAAGATTTTCCAGGAGGAGGAGCCTCCTTCCGTCAGCGGAAGGACGCACGGCTTTTTACGTAATGACGTCACTGAGAACAGACCGCGCCCTTATGGGGCTCGCAGTTGTTATATTTCAGCATCAGTTTACACAAACTAATCCTAAACACATCACTATCTGACGAGAAAATATTTAAATATAATTTCTTTTAACAAGTTGATAAAGCACATCCATTGCAAAACATGAAATTAAACAAAAAAGGTCATATTAAACTATATCAAATGGTCTTGTGCTGATTGTGGGACTAAGTTTGTTGTGGCTCCACGGACTGATGAAGTCCTTTGGATGAAGGACGAAACACCTCAACAACAACAAAAAAAGAAACTGTCCAGATGATCTGACTGAACTTTGTTGGATATATCAAACGGTGCAGTTTGATAATACAGTACTCATTATAGGTGGCGCAACTGGTAGAGCTGCTGCCTCTCAGCGAGCAGGTCCTTGGTTCAAACCCCGGTCCAGGGGCCTTTCTGGGTGGAGTTTGCATGTTCTCTCCGTGCATGCATGGGTTTTCTCCGGGTGCTCCGGTTTCCTCCCACAGACTAAAAACATGCATGTTAGGCTGATTGGTAACTCTAAATTGAATGAGAGAGTGAATGGTTGTTTGTCTCGTTTGTCTCTATGTGATGGACTTGCGACCCGTCCAGGGTGTACCCCGCCCCTCGCACAGTGATTGCTGGACATGGGCACCAGCGACCCCCGTGACCCAAAATGGAATAAGCGGGTAAAGATAATGGATGGATGGATGGATGGTTTAAATCCACCAAAAACCAAGCAGAAGCTTGACGAACAGGACTGACCTACAATCTACACCTAGGCTGTTTATAGTTTGGGTAGGTTAATAAACATGGCACAACAGAGGTTAAATCTCACAGAAGACTTTTTTTATTTACTCTTGCATTTAGCAAATCTGCTTCTAAATGCAAGACGGAAAGAAATATAAAAAATAAGAGCAAGGGAACAGTGAATGATAAATACTGGGGATTAAGCAGGGCAGGGTGATGGAGCGCCATACAGTCAGAGCTCATCACTTATATTTTTCAAATACGCTCAAATCTGAGAATAAATATGTACAAACCGGATTCCAAAAAAGTTGGGACACTAAACAAATTGTGAATAAAAACTGAATGCAATGATGTGAAGGTGCCAACATCTAATATTTTATTCAGAATAGAACACAAATCACAGATCAAAAGTTTAAACTGAGAGAATGTATAATTTTAAGGGAAAAATCTGTTGTTTCCAAATTTCATGGCGTCAACAAATCCCATAAAAGTTGGGACAAGTCCATTTTTACCACTGTGTGGCATCCCCCCTTCTTCTTACAACACTCAACAGACGTCTGGGGACAGAGGAGACCAGTTTCTCAAGTTTAGAAATAGGAATGCTCTCCCATTCATGTCTAATACAGGCCTCTAACTGTTCAATCGTCTTGGGCCTTTTTTGTCGCACCTTCCTCTTTATGATGCGCCAAATGTTCTCTATAGGTGAAAGATCTGGACTGCAGGCTGGCCATTTCAGTACCCGGATCCTTCTCCTACGTAGCCATGATGTTGTGATTGCTGCAGAATGTGGTCTGGCATTATCGTGTTGAAAAATGCAGGGTCTTCCCTGAAAGAGATGACGTCTAGATTGGAGCATATGTTGTTCTAGAACCTGAACATAGTTCTCTGCGTTAATGGTGCCTTTCCAGACATGCAAGCTGCCCATGCCACAAGCGCTCATGCAACCCCATACCATCAGTGATGCAGGCTTCTGAACGGAGCGTTGATAACAACTTGGGCTATCCTTGTCCTCTCTGGTCCGGATGACATGGCGTCCCAGTGTTCCATAAAGAACTTCAAATCGTGACTCATCTGACCATAGAACAGTCTTCCATTTTGCCACACTCCATTTTAAATGACCCCTGGCCCAGTGCAAACGTCTGAGCTTGTGGAGCTTGCTTAGAAATGGCTTCCTCTTTGCACTGTAGAGTTTCAGCTGGCAACGGCGGATGGCACGGTGGATTGTGTTCACTGGCAATGCTTTCTGGAAGTATTCCTGAGTCCATTCTGTTATTTCCTTGACAGTGGCATTCCTGTTTGAGGTGCAGTGACGTTTAAGGGCCCAGAGATCACGAGCATCCAGTAGAGTTTTACGGCCTTGACCCTTAGTTAAAATAAATTATTCTAAATTATTTAGCACCTGCTGCATATTTGTACAACCCAGAGCTGCAGAAAAAGCATCCTTCTGCAGCTGTGTGCAGCCCATACTGCAGGAGAAGCTTTCTGCTGCAGCTGATCAGCTGTTCTCCGTGCAGAGTGGAGAGGTGGGCGTGGCCAAGAGCGTTTGCAGGTTGCAAAGTGCAGAGGAGGCGGAGAGCTGAAGTCATGACATTCTGTGCTCTTTTAGAGCATTTAGAGTTTAGAAACATTGTTTAGAACATTGCAAGAGTGTGGGAAGCATTTCAAACACCTCATATACACACACACACACACACACACACACACATATATATATATATATATTAATAACTACTACTTACTACTTGTACTACTATTCCTACTTCGCGGTTTTTCACTTATCGCGGGGCTTCAGGGTACGGATCCCCGCGATAAACAAGGGACTACTGTAGCATAAGGTAACTTGTAGAAAAACAAACAAACAAATAAACAAGCAACAAGTTTTAACAGGTCCACACAGCTTAAAAAAATATTTTTATTCATTTTTTTTAAACATCTCACTCAAGTAAGTCAACATGACCAACAGCAACAAATCCTACAAACGGCTTGCCTCAAAACTCATTTTTAATTTAACACAAGTTATTCACTTGTTGTTGAGTGATTTTGTAAACAAAGGACAAATATGAAATACAGAGATGACAAATTAATAGAAGACTTAACTACTACAACAAAATGAAAGTAATTTCTGAAGCCATAAAAAATGTACTTGTTTTTTTTTTTTTTCAAAATTCTTAACATGTGTGTTCAAGGCTTTGTGAGGCTGAAAGTTGTTTGTTGAAACAAGATGCCGTTGTGCTGATGTAATGCAGCACACACAGTTAATGAAAGGTTACTGGGAGAACCATTAGTCTTAAATCTATTCAATCACATGAATGCATTTCAAATTTTAATCTGACCTGATTATTGTGCTAAGAGAAACGCAGGATGAGAAACAATAAACGATGCAACGTGTATAGGAAAATGTCATGGCCAGTGAGAGGCCTAAACAAGAACCGACTGCAGGCTTGCATAGAAAAAACACTAATATCAGTCTTAACATTTGATTCTGAACATGACAATTTCAAAATATTTTAAAACGTGTTTTTGAAGAGAAACAAACAGCTCTACTGGACAGTGTGGGCTGCAGCACATCAGCTCCCTTTACAGTAAATCCAAACTCACCATTGTTGAATGTAAGGCCTTTGAATACTCTGTGGAGGAGATAAACATGTATGACGTGGCTGAAAAGTGTATGTGTGTGTGAGACGGCGTGTGCAGCCTGTACCTTTGGGATTGTTGTGGAAGACACAGTTGTTGGCGCAAGTGTCGGGGTGGGAGTCCCAGAAAGAGGAGGCGCAGCAGCAGAGTGGAGGAGGCTCCAGCTTCACCTGAGACAGCCGCTCCTTCATCCGAGCTCTCAGAGCCTCAACGAACCTGCAGAGACGTCAGCAGCGCGTTTACCTGAACAGCCTCGGCAACACTCGCATTATTTAATTCACCAGGGATAGAAAGTTAGATTTGTTTACACGTTAAAACGAACCAAAACTAAACACCAGAACCAGCCAGTTCTTCTTCCTGAGGACCATAAATTAATCCCTGAATAAAATTCCCTGTCGGTAAGGCATTAATTTAGTTTCAATGCTTTTAGTGAGAAGTTTGAGAGAGTTAGGAGTAAATCACAATCAATCTCAGAGCGACTGAGCAAGAACAGACTAAAAGTCTTATCTCAGCCTTAATAGCTAAAGTTCAATACATTCTTTCAAAGACTGTTTCTGGTTGTTCAGAATTAAAAAAAAAACTGTTTTAAATATGATCTTAGCCACAGTGAAGACTTTCATTTCAACATTAAATTCACTGTTACACATCCATCCATTATCTTATATCCACTTCTTCCTGTCTGGGTCATGGGGGTCACTGGTGCCCATGTCCAACAGTCAATGCGTGAGAGGCGGGGGACACCCTGGACAGGTCGTGAATCCATCACAGGGACACATAGAGACAAACGAGACAAACAACCTTTCACCGTTCCATAATGTTTAAATGTGAGTGCAGCTGAAAAGTTCCAGGTTTGTGTCATCAGTCGCAGAAAGTTTGGAGCTTTGCGGTGTATTTTTGGTGAACTCTTCTGTTTCTTGTGTGTGTTTTTGGTCAACACTGGAGCCCTACTGGGCCTTTTTCCATGAAGCTCATTACGATTCAAAATGGGAGAGATAGAGTGATCAGAAAGAGTGACCTCTGAGTTCGGCTCAAAATGGCTTTGAGTGGGTTCTTTGGCTCTTTTTCTACCAGCCACACTATCAGTCTGGGGTTGCACTTCCTCTTGCATCCACATCCTGGAAGGTTTGCTCAAGTCGCATGAAACTTGTACTTTTTATTACCGTACTTTTCGCTGCATAAGTTGCACTTTTTGCATAAATTAGCAAGCCCTGCGACTTATACAGCGAAGCAACTTATTTGTTTTTTTCCCATATTTATAACCCAATTTTTGGCCGAGACCTGACGATTTCATTCATTCCGACATGGAAAATATTTTCATTTCTCAAGAAATATGGAGAGCCAAGTGTCTCATTAATAGGTAAAAGTGGCGATTAATGAGACACTTTGCTTGCCATACAAAGCCACCTTCGTCTCGCTCCAGAACTCCTGGCGCAAACATCAACAAAGCTGCATTTCACCGCCCAGGTTTCATTTCTGCTGATTTGATCATTAAAGTGCATTTATTAAGGAAAATTTCAACTGAGACACACCTTTGATATATTGTCAAACAAACAAATAATTGTTTTTAAGCGTTAACCTTGTTAAATTCTTGTTAAAGTCCTCCCGCGGCCGCCATTTGGCAGCCAATCGATTTTTGGCACAACACCGGCCCATGTTTCCAGGTGGTCAGCGCTGACGCATAATAGATGTGACTTATACGGCGAAGCAACATATTTATGTTTTTTCCACTTTATTAGACATATTTGGACTGATGCGACTCATACGGTGGTGCGACGTGTACGATGGCAAGTACGGTAGTCTCGTCAGCTGTGGTGAGAGGAACATGAAGCTGCTTGGAGATGGTCCTGTAGCTTTAACATGGATATCTATAATGTTCTTTCTGAGCTCCTCACAGATTCACCCTTGGATCGTCTGCGCCACATTCTGTGATGCACACAACCCCGCCCAACTACCAGGAGCATGTTAGTTCCATTTGAACATGAAAAAAACTGGATTTGACATAAGACAAAAATAATGGTTTCTTTAAAGTTACCAACAAATTCATCCATACTATTTTAGCACATTTTAGCAAAATATTCTTTTCACCACTTCTTTTGTTTACTTTAGCACATGCTAAAGACGTGCAGATGTACAATAGATAATTGCTTAAACTAGAACACGTTTACAAGTAGCTGTTCCAGTGAGCCGTACGAGCATCAACAGATTAATCCTGGTAGTCTGGAGCACATCTCCTCCTCGTCTTTGGGCTTTTTTTTTACTCTCTGCTTCAGAAACTCCTACACTTCTTAAAGGTCCTTCTCTCTTCTCCTCAGCCTTTCATCATAGAAGTTCTTGGAAAGGTTATAAAACAACTAAACAACTTCATTTATTCTTATGAGCTTAGCTCCTGATTTGTTGCTAAAACTGACTGAGTGGAAATGGTGACAGGTTAAAAAAACTAGTTTAAACAGAACAGTGAGTTACAAACAGTAGAAAATGCTGTGGATGAAGCTCTTTTATACTTCATGTGTTCCTTTACGTTGTCAGAACCCGACACGAGCTCCTGTGAGCTCACTTGAACCAAAGGAACCAAATATCTCACAGCTGATTACCTTGCAGTGTCTTTCTCTTTCTCCTCTCTTCTCCTCCTCTGCAGCTGCGCACTTCTCTCTCTCTCCTCTTCCTCAAGCTTCAGTCGCTCCAGAATCAGCAGCTCTCGTTCCTCCAGCTTCCGTTTGATGTTTGCGAGCTGCTGAGCTTGCTCCAGCCTCACCTCTTCCTCCAGACGAACCTTTTCTTTCTCCGCTTTAATCCTTCAGGGAAGGACGAGCGCATTCACATTTACTAACAGTTATTCCCATCGATGTTCAAGTATTACTCCAAGTTAAACAAACTAGCAAAAATGAGGCTGAATATTGGTGAAGTTTAAGGAAGGTGAAGGTTTTTTTGGTCACTTTAAAAAGCAGCTGTTCATAGAAACGTTTTAAAGATTTAATCTATTGTTCAGCTGAGTGAAGAGAACAGGAGGAAACGTTGTGGTCTTATCACCTTGCCGTCCTCTTCAGGTGTTTCCTGAGTCGTTGGTTCTCCTTCACCTGCTCTCGCTCGGTGCTCATGGCCTGACGGCGCTGCTGCAGGAACTGAGACTGACGCTGCAGAGACAAACGAGTCATCGCAGAGTTCAGACTGAAAGGAGTCGAATCGGTTTAGACGGACGTTCTTCTACCTGTTGTTTCACTTTTTCCTGGTCCGGCAGAGGCCAGAGAACCTGAGAGACTTTGAAGTCAGATGTAGAACCAGGATCAGAGTGGGATTTCTCTGGATCCCACAGCTCATGAACTCCCACCTGAAATACATCCAGGAAAACTGCAGTCAGAATTAAACGATGCACATGTAGTCTTGACCACTTAGAGGATGCCTCACATACATTACTGCAAAGTTAAGCTCCTAAATCTTCTTACAGGCTTCGTTTATAACACAAACACACTGATCAATAGCTCTGCAGCAATGTGGGGTTCAACGTAGTCCTAAAGACACTTGTGTGTGCCAAATGGCAAAACCACAACTGAACCACTTTCCACTTCTCCAGAACCAAAACCAATTTCAGAAAATACAGCTAAAGCACTGGTTTGCATGGATGTCCTAAGATGTTAAAAACAAATTTATAAAACAACAAGAGAAATTGCATTTCCTCCTAAACTGCAGTGTGAATGATTATTGCTGAAGAACTGGCTAAAGCAACTGCTGAAATTAGCTAAAACATGCTGAAATGTAGCTAAAATGGAAGAACAAGCCTAAGTTAGCAAAAGAAAGCAGAAAGAACACATATTTATTGAATTAAGTTTAAATAAGCAGAAATCAGAAAAAAAAAGGAAATTAGCTAATAAATAGCTGAAAAATAGCTAAAAAAGGCAGAAAAAAGCTTAAATTACCAGAAGGAAGTGGAAGGAGCTGAAATTAGTAAAAAAAATGCGGAATTAGTTGAAAAAGTTAAATTTAGCACAAAAACAGCAAAAATATTAGCCAAAATAGCAGAAAAGGTTTAAACTAGCAGAAATAAGTTGAAATTACCATACCACGCTGAAAGTAGCAGAAATTACCACAAAAAAAATTGAATTTATCTGAAAACTGCTGAAATTAGCTAAAAAAACTCTAAAAATGTAGCTAAAAATGTAGAACAAGCTTAAATTAACAGAAGTTAGTAGAGAGAGCACAATTACGCCCAATTAGGTTGAAAGAAGCAGAAATGCGCACAAAAACGTGAAAATTATCAGGAAAAATCTGAAAATATATTTAAAAAAAATCAGCTGAAAAATGGCTAAAAAAGCAGAAAGAAGCTTAAATTACCAATAAGAAGTGGCAAGAGCACATTTTTGCTGAAAAAAGTTGGAATGAATGCAACAAATGTGTAATTAGCTGAAAAACTAAAATTTGCATAAAACAGCTAAATAGTAGCTGAAATAGCAAAAACAAAAAATCAAACTTGCAGAAATAAGCTGAAAGGAGTATAATAAGCTGAAATTAGCAGAAAGAGGTAAAAAGAAGCATAAAAATGTTAGCAGAAAGAATCTAAAAGGAGCACAACTGAAAAAACAGCTGAAATTAACTGAAAGTAGCTGAAAAGAAGCTTGAATTTGCACAAAGAAGCTGAATCAGAACAAAATGTGAAAGGAGCAGTAAAAGGTTGTAAACAGATCTAAAGATCTGAAGGATGTAAAATGAGCTCAATTCATTTTCTCTGAGGGGAAAAAAGTGTCAGAAAAGGCTAAATATTTCAAAAAGCTAAAGTTGCACCAACACCAAATAGCACAAAAATTGTGGGACGAGAAAGACGCCAAAAAAATGAAAATTTGATCTCAATAAACATTCACACAATAAACATTCACACACCCCAAACATCAGCTGCTAATTAAAAAGCAAGGATTTAAAATACAAATGAGGAATTATTTATTGACAAACATACTAAAAGGCTTTTTGTGCCGTTTTAATCTTGTCACTATTTAACACAAACACAAACGTTCATGAACAGGCCTGCTAAGAGCTTGAGTTGATTTTGACATTTGTAAACTAGTAATAAGTCTTGCTCACATCTCAACAGTATAATAAACTTTGAGTTTCTTTGGTGGAGAATTTAATTTTTGGACAACGAACATTACTGAGCCTCACAGTAAGTGTGAATGTCAGACAGCTGCTGTTTGCTGCTTGTGTTTTTTTTATTTCCTACAGTTGTTCCTCATTTTTAAGATGCTGCAATTATTAAACATTTAAAAGCTTTAAGGGTTGAAATCCTCAGCGAGAACTAAAGGAAATAAAGCACCACAGAGAGCAAAACAAACTTAGAAGATTAAAAAAATGAAACATAGTATACGTTTGGTCATTGATCTAATGTTCTGAAGCAAATGACAATATTCTTTTTTAAAAAATCATCCTCTTTTCCTCATCTAAATGCTTCAGCTGCTGATTATCGACAAAAAAAAAGAAAGAAAACTGTATCTATTGTTAGGGTTCTTACTGCAAAGTAGAGAAATCTGCAGCAATTTCAATCCTAAAAGATGTCACCGTGCTTTGTTGATAAAAGATCTAACATAAAAAGGATGTGAGGCACAAACTGAACTGGCCGATAAGAAACTGTTGAGTCACAGCTTGTACGAGGGAAACATTTTATGATGATTTTATCATTTTACTTTCCCCATATCTATAGAGTCTGAGTTATGATTTACTGACGTGAAACAGTTTAGGTAAAGTTCCTTTACATCAGATACAAAACAAACTTTTACATTTGCAACTGAAAGTTTTACAGTAAAGACAAAATGTATCCTCAGACAAAAAAAACACAACTTCTAATAAAGCTGCCTCTCATCTCCCACTTTATTGAACAACTATTACACCCCAACATGTCAAGATCTAATGCTGCACTGCACAAAATACTGGCAAACATCTGAATATAGGCTAAGAATCACCTGGCTGTTTTTAAACTGAACTTATTTACGTTTAGGAAAATGTGTTTGTGTCTCAACAGCTTCTGTTCTAACATTGAATCACAGAAAATACTAATTCTGATCAAAGACTCAGTTCATGCCTGTCCATGATTACACTTGACGGTTTGGTGCAACAGTCATTGATGACGGTGTGAAATTTGAACGTTTTTATCTTTACTGCATGAGAACAAAGATTGTTTTTCTCCATCATACTTTTTTTTTGTTCCCTGTTGTTTACATAAATAATGTAAAACTTGAAACAACAAGCATTGATTATCATCTAAAAATGCTGAATTTGAAACTTTAATTCAAACCGAGTCTCTTGACAAAGTTCGATCAGATTTAAGCCCAGTTGCATGCTGGGGATTGAGTCACCTTCTGCTGAACGAGCGGGCACTCGTGGTGACTAAAGAAGAAAGGCGCATCCGTTGTTTCCTGCTCTTCCTCTTCCAGAACATCCTCTCCTGACCTCAGCATGTGAAAATTATTTCTCTGTTGAGCAGAGAGGGAAATGTTTTCAAATATAGCTGGAACACGCAGAAAAAAGAGAAGCACAAACAATCACAGAAAGAGGAACCAAGTGTCTGAAACAGACACTCACGTGTCTGGTTGGAGAGACGTTCCAGCTGCCTCCAGGAAGATCTGACGCCGCTGCGTCCTGCTGGATCAGCCGACAGGCAGCCAGTCTGAGTCTGACCTGCCTCATCGCTTCTCTCGACTGGAAAAACGTGGAAATAAATAAAATCCCGCATTAATCACAGTCACACACTATTCCATAAGGAAACAATCACCACAGTGTTTCATGATACTCGACAGCACCGCCATCGCCTCCTAAACGTTAGAGACATGTTCCAGAACTGTGTCCGTCTCAGCAGATTTTAAACTTTCGTGGGAACAAGTCTAATCCAGCTAAGCTGGGATAGTAAGGCTGATAAACAAACTGTGACGGAAATAATCTGATGGCCTTTTTGAATTGTGTAAATAATCAAACTAAAGAGGTTTTAAACGATGGATTCCTGCAGGTGGAAGGTAACTCATTGGCGCCCTCTAGTGGATAATCTACCACATTATATCCTGTTTGAACCTCAATACGGTTTTGTTAAACAAAATAAGATGGAACTTTATTTATGATCATGCAAGAAAATGTTGAAGAAATATATAAATACCTTTAGGGATAAAGATCAGTGACTTTTGTAGATATTTTCAAATGATTTGACATTGAAAAAAAGCAACGAAAACAACTTGTCTGATAAAAAATAAGTAAAACAGATCAAAACACATTCTCAAAGACCGTAGAAATAATGAACAGAACGTCTAAAAGTATCAACGACAGTATTTCAACAATCTCATTGTTTTTTAGTGAATTTGTCTCGTATGATCAGACTGTCAATATTAAACTCAACAGAAATATTATGAAGTGATGGAAAAAGTTTTCAGCATAAATTAAGTGATTTTCTGACGTGACAGGACAGCAGTGAGGGAGCTGCTGAAGCTTGGGGGCCAGTGCTGCAGTCTTGTCATCTGAGGCTGCTGGTTCGAGCCCCAGTTGTGTCAAGAAGGACATCCGAGTAAAACATTTGCCCAATCGTTCATGCGAGTTCAATCGCTATGACGACCCACAAAACAAGAAGCCAAAAACGAGTCTACTCGGTGACTAAATGTAGCCGCACAAACAAAATCAATTACTGGTCACATTTATCTGCCTTCCAGTTATTTTTTAATTCTCAGTTTGTTTCCTCTTCCTCTCACCTCTGGAGAGCTCCTGCTCCGTTGTGCAGCACCTTCTGCAGAAATCTGATCCTCACCAACCGACACCTGGTGGGTCCGGACCTGATAATGTGGGATTCTCCTGTCAGGTGTCGCCTGGGGAAAAAAAACAAAAACGCTCTACAGTAAAGAGCTTGAACCATATTTATGCCTTTTTTCATAAAAGTAACTGAAAGGAGTTTGTTTAGAGATTGGCATAAAAACTGTGTTTATTTTTTATTTGTTGCCTAAATGTATAGATCTGAATAAAATTTTGTCTTATCCACATAATTCAAAATTATGGGATGCATTTCCACACGTTACATTTTGAGGCATTTTGTTTCTTGTAGCCTGTTGCAAAAAGTTGCTTCTTACGCAACTACTATAAAAAAAGAGGAAACAAAATGAAAAACTCCAATGAAAATTGTCAGATACTGAACTGAAAACAAAAGAAAAATGGAAAATTAAACTGAATTCCATAATGTTGGTAGTAATAATTGTAAAGAGTGCTAACTAAAGGTGATAGAAATGGGACTGTTCCTCCCATCAGTTCGAACCGTCTGGTGTCTGGCCTTGCTGATGTAAGATCGCTGTGCCAGACGGCGTCGTACTCCGTCTTGAAATCGTCTGAGACTCTCTTCAGCCGCTCTTCTTTTGTCAGCCTGCAGCTCCTCGGTTAGCGAAGCAAGAGCCTAAAACAACAAAACAACGAGATTATAAAGAGAGAAGAAATGAGGCTCTGAAGAAAATTAGCAGTAAATGCATTCAAATTTGAATTTAAACAAGCAGAACTATGACTAGAGACAAACGTGGCAAAAACATTTTAGCAGGAAGAGACCAGGGCTGTCACGATAAACAATAAATCAATTAATCGCATGATAAATGGAAATTATCGACCTCGTTTTCATTTATAGGTTTTATCGTTTCTTCGTGTCTCTCTCTTTCTGAAGACACTGGATGACAGAATCCAATATCATGTTTTAGGATCGTTAAAAGCAGCTAAGCTACGAGCTAAGCTAATAGGCCAACCTCGGGGGGGGGGGGACCCTCCGTCTTGTCGAAGCTCCAAAATTCACGGTTGAAACCCGTGCCTTCGTGTAAAAAGTTTTTCTCTGCAAAAAGAAGCTGAGAACTTGTTTACTGTTTTTTTTATTAAAAGCTCTGTGTGAAAAATGCTATGCTAAAGAGCTCAAACCACACCGAGCAGCCGCCATTTTGAGAACCCAAGAGAGACAGCCCGTGTCACATCAAGGGGCCTCCCTCACATTTTTTTTAGACACGCTGCTCGCTCCCTCACTATCCATCCTTTAGTTCAAACAATCTTATACTGCCATTCTGTGGTCGAATAAAGGTACTACATGCAAAACAAATTAAACATTTCTTCTTAAATTTGACAATAATTACTAATTATTGTAAAATTTCAAACAATATTATCGTTTATCGCAATAATTTCTGAGACAATTAATCGCCCAGCAAAATTTGTTATCGTGACAGGCCTAGTAGAGACGAGACTGTAAAAACCACCAGTTCCTTTTCCGAGATGTTAAATAAGTTATTGTTAGGGGTGCACCGATTGCAGTTTTCGGGCTGATCACCAGACAAGATTTCTAAAAAGAAATTGATTATTTATCGATTATGTAGGTATCAATTTTAGCCAATACCGATTTTGTTTTATAAGCAACACTGTCAGGTGTTATAAAGTCGCAAGGCACCTTCAATTTTCCATCTTATTTTGTTGAAAAACATGCCCTTGAACAATATCCTAGAAACAATACAAACTTGTTTTAACTGGTCATGAGGTAGTGCTCTGAAATATAAATGAAGAACAATTGTTGTTAAAACTAAAAAAAAAAAAAAAATTGGTAAAAATCAGTTTCTCATACAAGTATTGTCCGATTTCCCAAAATTAAGTAAATCGGGGCTGATAAATCAGCCGGCCTATTTATCGGTGCGCCCTTAGTTACAGTAATTATAAACTTTTGATTCTAATTTTTGCTTTAAAGCAAATCACAGGAATAAGTTTTGTGCAGAATAAGATCTTCATACAATTCAGTTTATTTATATAGCGCCAATTCATAAAGTTGTCTCAGGGCACTGTACTGGAACATTCACATACAGAAAGTAAAGTTCTCTATCTAAGGAAACCAGCAGACTCGTTGAATCTTTACTTGGTCGCAGTCTCCCATCCTGAGCAATCACAAAGGCATTTATTCATATCAGGTTTTGACAGTTCTTATTTATTAAACAGCATTTATAAAGATGTTGACCAGTCAGAACATCCAGTGTTTCATATTAGCAGGCCCAGCTCTCTGCAACAGTTTAAATAACACGTCGAAGATTGTTTTATAAACTTTACAACTCCTTACGTTTCTGACAAATTAAGAGAAAACGGATTTGAAATAGGATTTTGAACATATTACCTGTTTTAAAACAATCCAATTTAAGAAAATATTTCATTGTAAATATGAAGAAAAAAACTAAATTACAATAAATTGAACTGGTTTCAGTTTTAAACATAAATTTAACCTTTAAATGCACTTTTACCCTCAAATAGAAAAGTAAACATTTTGTTTGGACTGTTACGATTAAGCAAGTACTACATTAAAATATGGCTGTGATACAGAAAAATAATAGTACTGTGCATGATTATTTTAAAAAGCTGATGTTTTTTTTAAATATTTTTCTAAATTAAAAAAAAAAGAATACACCAAAAACTAAAGATATGCCATAAAAGTTATCAAGACAATCAGGATAGTCTATTTGCATTTTGGAGATTAAACAAAATAAATCTGCATTTAACAGGATGGCTAATTTATTGCCTATGATTTGGGGTAACTTCATAATTTTTATTAGTAATTAGGTAATTACTTATTACAAAATATTAATTTAAAACCTACTCTCTGCCAATTAAAATGTAGGAAAACAACTGTACAAACCTCAAAACATTAAGGGCATGGTTTTAATTTCAATCTCTTGAACATTTTTAAGAGGAAGAATAGTGTAATTGAGACATTTTATTCAGAATTATCTTTCCTATTTGTATTTTAAGTGGCATTATTTTTTTTAAGAAGTGTTGTTCAGAAAAGCTTATAAACTTCTTTATTTATGCAACCTGGCGTTTTAGCTTCATGTAGAAGTAGTTGTAAATTCCCACTCATGTTGGGGCTCATGAACGCACCTTGTCTCGTTACCCACATCTTCAGTGTTGCGTGGCTCATTGTTACAGCACAACAAATGCTTTATTGATGTTAAATCATAAAGTTACCTTTGTGGGAGGTTTGCAGCCAGTTTTACTCAGGACAGACTCAAACGGAAGAACATTTTAGGCTAACTTGGAATAAAACAGTCAACTTGCTGCAACCGCTGTCGAGCAACTAAACACCGCCAACTTACAGCCGGGTGCTCCAAGAAGTCCTGTCCGTCCTCCACCCAGGCTCCTACCGACACCACCGCCTGGTTCCGCTCAGCCAACACTTTGCTGGTTCTGGAGGCGCCACGTCTCTCCATTTGACCCGCTTTAGCTCCGTTCCTGCGCTGTGTGGAGACCTGGACATGGCTAGCGCTCATTAGCGTCAGATGCTACAGACGAGCCGTTGACCTGGTAGTCAACGATAAACTGCACGAGGCAACTCGGTCGACTTATTTATGATATTTATACAAAACAATACTTATTAACAATACAATGACAATAATGTGATTTATCTGTTTAAATAAAGGTTGAAAATGAAAAACATTTAAAAGAAAAGAAATAGGTTTCCTCCTTCCCCGTTTTCAGCTCACCGCTGCCCCTACCGGACAGGAGGACACATGACAGTTTATATGAAAACACTTTCCAAACTAAAAGATAAGCACACAAGCATCTAAGCCGGTTTTACGTAAAGAATAGCAAAATTGTAAACCATTGTGCAATAGTGTTATGACACCCTTTCATTTATTTATATATTGCTAATAATGGAGCGTATTTTCTGATATTAAAGCAATAATTTCCAAGGGTTTTCTGAAGAGCTTTCATTTATTTCTCTTCATATATTGGCTTTTTTTTCCCTATCAGTCCATTGTATCTGATCATTTTTCTTACTATGTCAAACCTTATGACAGTCATTTATACGTCATTCAAAAATATTAGAATAATGTTTTTATGCTATTAGTACTTACCGTATTTTTAGTTAATATTTCTTAGTTCATATCTTAGATCTTATTACAGTTTTTCTTTTACATTTGTATGTAACTGGGACCCTGTTTACACAATTTTGTTCCACCACATGTGGTGCAAATGACAAAAAGAAAACTCAGACTCTGAATAAAAGACACACAAATGTAACTTTAACAAATATTAAATATCTTTAAACACCTTCCTAGAAGTCTCACAAAATTATAATAGTGTGAATGCCTATTATAATTTTACTATTATAATATTATTACTATTAATAGGCATTCACACTATTGAGATCCACTTTTTCTTCCGTACGTTTTTGGCATCTACTGCAGTTTTTGTGCCAGTTCAACAAATCATAAATCAAAACGTTCAGCCGTTTCAGGACATGACTATGACTTTTGGTATTGATGCAACTTTAGTTTTTTGAGATATTTAACCTTTTCTGCCATTTTTGCTCTCATTGAAAATGAATGGAGCTCATTTTACATCTTCATAACTTTTGATCTGTTTACAACCTTGTACTAATACTTTCACATTTAGACCTGGTTAAGGTTCTTTCAGCTTCCTTGTGCAAAATTTTAAACAAAATTCAGCTAATTTCAGCTGTTTTGAGCTCCTTTCAGCTAACTTCAACATTTTTGTGCTTCTTCAAACTTATTTATGCTAAGTTATGCTTGTTCTGCTCCTTTCAGCTTATTTCTGGATGTTTCAACTATTTCTATAATTTCAGCTATCATTTAGCTGTTTTCATGCTAATTTCATCTTCCATCCATCCATCATCTTTTACCCGCTTCTTCCATTTTGGGTCACGGGGGTCGCCGGTGCCCATGTCCAGCAGTCACTGTGCGAGGGGCGGGGTGCACCCTGGACAGGTCTCCAGTCCATCACAGGGACACATAGAGACAAACGAGACAAACAACCATTCACTCTCTCACCCACACCTAGAGACAATTTAGAGTTACCCATCAGCCTAACATGCATGTTTTTTGTTTGTGGGAGGAAACCACAGTACCCGGAGAAAACCCACGCATGCACGGAGAGAACATGCAAACTCCACCCAGGAAGGCCCCTGGACCGGGATTTGAACCAGGGACCTGCTCGCTGAGAGGCAGCAGCTCTACCAGTTGCGCTAATTTCATCTTTATCAGCCAACTCCACTTTTTTTTTTGCAATCATTTAAACTTTTCTCAGCCTAATTCAGCAAAAACCTTCTCCCCCAACATCCTCCTAGTAATTTAAGCTTCTTTCTGCTTGTTTTAGCTACTATTCAGCAGTTTTTAGCTAATTTCAGGTTTTCTCAGATAACTTCAACTTTATTGTGCTAATTTCTGCATGTTTCAGCCTTAGTGGGCACAATTAAACTCCCTCCACTTCCTTTTGGACATTTAAGCTTCTTTCTGCATTTATTTGGCTACTATTCAGCTGTTTTATAGAAAAACTTGGATAACTCTGCCATTTTTAGAGCTATTCAGATGAAACTTGGCATATTGGTAGCCGACAATGATCCCTAATAGAATGAATGAAAATCAAAAAATTCAGCTACTTCAGCTGTTTTGTGCTTCCTTCAGCTAACTTCAAGATTTGTATGCTTCTTCACACTTATTTCTGTTAATTTCAGTTTCTAGATGGAAGGTAAAACGTTTCAGCACGTCCAGATGACCTGACTGAAAATTATTGGATTGTATACCTGGATTATTGAGCATGGACTTTGTTGGTCTAGTGGAGATGTTTTTTATTTCTCTATAAAAACTGATCTGAGGCTGTGTGTTAAAGTGCATTAAAGTTGAAATGTCTTTAAAACCCACAGCTCAATTTACACAGATTTGGTGAGAAACATGCTTTAAATGTGTGAAATTAAATTGGGAAATCTAAGTGAAATGCTGCTTTTTTGTTTACTAGTGTACTTTTTTTGCGTACGTTGTGTGCGCGTGTATGTACACACACACTGTCCCCCCACATTAAAGATGCTTCTGACGCCCTTGCCAAACATGCATGTTAGGCTGCCTTCAGGCCCAGGCCTCCCTTGCAAAAGAGATTTGTGATGTCAATAGGACTTGTCTGGTTAAGTAAAGGTTAATAATAAATAAATGTCCCTGCTACGACAGGCGTATTAAAAAAAAAAAGAAAACAGCAGAGACCTGATATAGGACTTGCCTTAATTTGATCCTTTAGCTGTTTGCCAAGTTCTGGGGTCGAAACAATTAAATGCCTCTTTATATGCGTTTGAACCTGTGCACCTGTCAAACAGTGGAACAGGACAGAGCTGTAGGTCTGGGTCTCCTGAATTTGGTCTGGTTTCAGTAAATTAAAGATTATAGCAGTGTTTGGTCTTGCAGCTAAAAAATTGATCCCAGCAACCAGCAGGTGGAGCTGCACAAAAAGTAAACATCTTAAACAGAATTTATTGCAAGTCATTAAATCCTGACCAGTTTGTGAATCCACCCACGCGCTTTAATAACAGGATGAAACATTGATTATGGAATCAGAAACGTTCAGCGTCATGTAAATTAGTTATTAAACCGAGAACCTTTTTATTCTTCGTGGACATGCGGAATCGTTTTCTCCCTTTCCAACATCGCAACTGCATTTATAATAAGTTTTAGTATTTCCACTGTAACGAAAACATTTATTCAAACTACTACCATTCTGAGCAGCAGACACACAAAAATAACAACTGCTATCTCTCAGTAGGAAATTATATGATCCGTTCAAACGTATAAAATAATGAAAAAATTAGAATTTTAAAAAGCTGCCTTCATTGAATAGCTTTATTTAAAAAAAAGACTAAGTCATCACAGAATATGTTGGGTAAAACACATTAGATATAAAGATTACTTTGAATTTCTGTGGTTCTGATAAACTTGCGTAGGACGTCTGTGTTTGGAGTGGAATCCACCTGAGGAGGAAAAAATGAGTAAAAAACAATCAGTTCCCGTATATTTTAATAGAGATAACACAAAGTGCATTTTATAATGTTCAGTAACCAAATAAGCTATGACACATTTTAATTTAGGGTGTGTTAATTATTTAAAATATGTTTTTAAAGAATCCATTTCACTCACCTTTCACAAAAGATTTCAACTAAAACATTTTTCTATATGGAAATGTGACAAAATGACAGTCCTTTAAGTCAAATCTTGACTTGAGGGATGACTCCCGGCTACTACGGTAGTTTATTTTGAAAAAATAAAAATAAAAAAAATGGAGTCAATTTCGTCTTCACCTGACTTCCATGGCAGCATAACATAAAAAAAATCCACATCACAAACCTAAACGTTTTAGTCGTGTCATGTTGTTTCTAAAAAAAACAACTCAAACAGCTAATGAAGTTATTTTAGTTTTGGATTCTAGATATACTGTAGATGTATTTGGCAGCAGCTCAGTTGATAAAACTGAAGCGCTCTGACTTGGCATCCTCACCAAGGATCTGGCTGTCGGCTCGTAAAAATTGTAAAAATTAGAAACGCAAACGATGCCAAACAGATGCACAAAATACGATTTCTCATAAACAAAGATTAAATGTTTAAAACAAGAAAACGGAGGAGTTGTGGGTTTGGTTATAAATGGGAACCAAAAAGTAAAAGACAACGGTAGGAAAAGGCTTTTGGCAACAGTAGCTCCTCTGGCTATAAAACCCAATCTCATCAGCTGTCAGAACCTGCAGTTACATCCTCGACTGGAGCGCAGCCAGAACTCCAAGATGTTGGACATCTGTGACTATCCTTGCTTTGCGACCTTTTCAAAACCCTCTCAGATATAGAAGGAAAAGGCAACTCACCTGTATAGACCTGCCAAGCTTGGTTAGCGCAGGTTTATAGGTCTCCATGGTGACAGAGTCGGGGCCAATGACATCACTGTAACACTGGTAAACAACAGCAGCGATGCGGTGGACCTGGCAGTGGTTCAGTACTGATGAAACAGCACAAAGAACAAAGCAAGGGTATCAGATTACTAGAACGTGACCTGGATGAAAGCTAAAGAGTTTCACTTTAGTGATGAAGATCAGAGTTCCTCATCCTGATGAAACATCTTTGTTTGGATTAGATGTATTTAAGTGGACCGGATACGTAATAATCCCATCAGGATGCAGGACGATGAATGCTCAGAGAGTGGACAGGGGCCTAATGGCCCTACGTTTCATTCAGCTGGCAGACACATTTGTTCAAAGAGTCACGTGGGGTTTATTGTCTCGCTCAAGGACGCCTCGACAGAATGAGACAAGAATTAAACCTGTCAAAAGCTGTGTACACAGACTACAGTGAACCTGAAACCCATTTCCTAAAGTTACCTTCGGCCTTTGCTTCTGGATCAATCCTACATACCTATCTTACCCTACATTTGGTTCAAACATAATTCAATTTACCAGTGAGTTGCTGGTTGGAATACAACCTGCTTCAACAATCAAAACAACATCAAATGTCAATTAGATTTGAACCCAATCCCATTCCATTCGGCCCCAGTTCTGGAGGACCACACTGCTAGCAGTACCATGCTGCTAACAGGACCACGCTGCTAACAGGACCATGCTGCAGACAAAGCCACACTGCTACCAGGACAATACTGTTAACAGTACCATGTTGCAAACAGAACCACGCTGCAGACAGAGCTACACTGCTAAAAGGACCATGCTGCTAACAGGACCATACTGCTAACAGTACCGCTCTGCTAACAAGACCACATTGCAAACAAAACCACACTGCTAACAAAACCATACTGTTAACAGTACCACACTGCTAACAAGACCATGTTGCTAACAGTACCATGCTGCTAACAGTACCACCATACTAACGGGACCACACTGCTAACAAGACCACGTTGCTAACAGGACCATGCTACTAA